GGTTTTCGCTTCAGGTTCACGCGGAGATCGATCCCGGACGACTCCATTATCGCCAACGTTCTTCACCGCTCGACTACCGCGAACCGTACGACGTCACCGCAGAACACCGCAGCAATCGCTGCAGGATCTACATTACCGCATCGGTCAGCTACAGATCGATTTACCGCTCGACTTAAGTCGAAACCTATACGACAATTGATTACCGCTTAACAATTACCGCTTTGCTCGTTTTCCGATCGATATTACCGCCCTAATCGCCCTTTTGGTCGATTTTCCGCCCTTCTCCTTCTTTATCGCCTTTTCCTACCTTTTCCGATCGTTGAGGATCGATTTCCTTTCGATCCTTCCTTTTTCCGCTCATTTTTCCCTTTCCCCATCTATTCCGATCGATATCGGCGTTAGTCGCTTTGACGAGCCATTATCGATCCTAGTCGATGGGAATTGGGGCGATTTCCCAGCCTTTGAAGCACTTTCTCACGAGCGAGACAACTTCAAAGGCATGCCGCGGCGCGGATATACTTCGCGCAGCGAGAGAGCGCCAGACAATCGATTGGCGGCAGGCTGCATTCCCATGCGAGCCGGCGCATCGATTGCCTTTACCGCAACTAACTCGCTATAAAAGACATTATCGCACAGCCTAATCCAAAGGGATCGCTATGGCAATTCCAGTGGATTATGGACTGTTGTTCCGCGAACTGCAACGAACGATCGAGGAGCTCCAGCAAGCCGTCAACGACATCAACGACACCCTTCTGGAGCAACAGCGAGCCGATGAGGATCAAGAAGCTTACCGCCAGCAGTCGTCAGAAGTATGGGGTGCGCGAACTTATGGTCGCGCACTCCAAGCTTCGCGATATGCTTTACCGCTCCCAATCCCATTGGGATATGGTGCTCCAGAGCATCACACAAGGCGAAGAGAGGGACCAACGCTCCGGCGTGTATGACTCGGCTCTTCTCCACTGGCGCAGCCAAGGGGGAGATCGGGCACGCGCCGAGGCAAGGAACCTCATTAACCGCCTCGAAGTGGAACTGCGACTTTTGCAGCCACATTTACCGCCTTCCCTCCAGCAGAGCAGTACGTGCCAGATGAGAACTCATTCGCCACCTCCGAGGCGTGAAGTTCCGCTGGCAGTACCGCTGACGACCTCGCGCAGGACCGTTCCAGAGAACCAGCGTCCTTGCGAGGGCAAGTCCGGGTGTTGCTCACCAGTTACCGCTCAACTTACCGCTTCGTCACGCGCGCTCTGATGAAGAGTCTCCTTCATTGCAGCGTGAGTTACCGCAGAGAGCAACGGGTTCTAGCCCAAGGCACTCTTTATCGCAATTAGCTTCACGGTTTCAACCGGAAGCAGACATTACCGCCAAACCAGATTGTACGTCTTCCCAGGCTCGATCTCCCTACTTTTGAAGGAGAGATCGAGAAGTTCCCAGAATTTTGGGACGCGTACAATACTGTTATTCACGCTAACCCTTCCCTGTCGCCGGTCCTCAAGTTTTATTACTTGAGGAGTTCTCCTTAGAAGGAGAGGTTGCCAGAAGCGACAGTGGGAGGATATGACATTACCGCAGAGAACTCTACGATCTCGCCGTGCGTACGCTACGCGAGACGTATTACCGCCCTCAGTTGATTCGCTACGCAGCTGAGTACCGCGCTTCAAGCCATGGAGCCAGCTGGTACTTCTGCGCGGATCAACGCGCAACGCTGGCGCAGATAAAGTCTTATGGCTCCAGATGCAGAAGCACGGAGACAGTGAGGACAATATCTACGTCATGCGCTTTATTCGCCAGAAATTCCCGCAGCGAACCCTGGAGCACCTAGGCAGCTTGGAGACAGCGGACCCCACTCCGTGGAGAGTTCCGCAACTCCTCGATGGCCTAGACCGTGCTATCAGGACGTTCGAGGTTATCGCAGACATGGCAGAACAGACGCCAGATCATGGAAACGTGCTCCGTCACCTCTCCAATGGGAGGACGACCACTTTCCGAACTATTCACACGTTACCGCAGTCGTACTAGATCGAATAAGTCCAGTCTTCATTGCAGATCCGACTTGTTACTGTCTCTTCTGCAGAAGACAGGGGCATCTTACCGCTGACTGTCACCTAGTCACTTCCCGCCAAGCAAGACTGACGTCGTCATGGAAGAAGGTCTTTGCCGCAGGTGTTTTGCTAGAGGGCATATGGCTGCTGACTGCAATCAGCCACGATGCGGCCTTTGCCAGCAGAAATCACATCAAGTTAGTGCCACTAGGCAGATTTAGCCGGTGGTGCAAACTCGCAAGTCGCGGTAGACACCCTACGAGCACGTTAGCTGTTAGGATAGTGCCGAGCTATCCGGTTTCAGATAGATCGGCAAGCAGATCTCTATCCTCATCAGATTCCCGCTCCGAATCCGAGTATGATGGCTCCGACTCGTTCGAATCGGATACATTACAGGATTCAGAACCAGAAGATATGTCTTCTGGTGAGACATACTGAAGCGTGAGCAATGCGCCCGCTTCTTTTCCGCAGCATTATCGGGATCTCGTTTTGACACGACCTATTGTTTGCCGCAACTGACGTTTAATTGCTCCCGACTCCTATCTCGGGTGTACCATTTTTCCTCGCTCTCGGGAGGATGGACTGTGTCCATTTCTTCGAGGCCTGGAGGTCCGAGATTAGGACTCGGGAAGGATTAACGCGATGGATTTCCGCTGATCGGTGCTCTGTGTCGAGCATTGTTGCCGCTTTGTTTCCGACTCTTGCCGCTGTGTTTTAGCCAAGTGGGAACACATTGCCGCCGTATTCCTCTACTTTCAGGGTCGATCGACGAAAATGGGCAAGGACGGGTCGACGACAGTGGGCAAGGACAGTCAACGAAAATGGGCACGTGGCACCAACGACGTCTACCAACATCAGCCGTCGAATCAAGTCGTCACGATGCTTCATTCCGTTGCTGTCACGGTCGAGGAACTTCGCTGGAGATGGTTCGCCCCTCGGTGCAGTCCGACCCTCTTCGGTGCAGTTCAACGTCGCCGTTCGATGGAGAGTGGAGGACTACGACGCAAGCAACTACGACACATTGATCTCTTTTTGAGTGCCCTTAAGGCACTCCCGGTGTTTTTTCAGGCGTCCTTAAGACGTCTGCTATTGTCTCTTTTCTGCGGCTGCCCTTAAGGCAACCGCCCTTGTGTTTTTTGGGGTGCCCTTAAGGCACCTCTATTCTGCTGTGTTTCCATTTGGTCGTTGTCGATGATTGTTTTTGAGGCGCCCTTAAGGCGTCCTCCTTGGTCAAGGTATTTGGTATTGGCGTGCTCCTTTTTTTTTGGGTCGCCCTTAAGGCACCCCTGATCTGTCCACCCCCCCCCCCGTCCCCCCCCCCCATGACATAATTATGACGAGTAGGGACTGCCGTCTAGGTAGAGACGTTGTTAGGAGCAGCCATGCCATCGCACTTACCGCACCCTCTAGGCCTTAGCCAAACGTTCGGTGTCAGCCTCCCATTGGGGCCACCGTCGTTGCGCACCCCGCGGGCATTCACTTTCGCTCTCGGGAGTGTCGCGGTTCGCGACTGTGGTCCCGGGCGCACCGCGCGCTTGGGCACTGCTGTGCAGCAGGCGCCGTGGCGTTGCACGCACCGACTATAGGGGCATGCTCCGCTCCGGTCCGCTCAGCAGGAACTACTTAAGCGAGCCGCCTCTGCCAGTCGGCGCACTTCGCTCCCTCCGGGAGGAGCGTTGTGCCGGGCAACGCTAGGAAGCTGGACGGCTCGGAGTGCCACTGGCACTCGGCAGTATGGTCCGGCATACTGTCCCGTCCTGTCGGAGCGCTGGCAAGCCAGCGTCCGCTACACCGGATGGACGCTGCCGGCTGCAGGCGCCAGCAGTGCGCCACTTACCGCCGACGACCCGATGGATGGACGACGCGATGGCTTGGTATCTCCAAGCCCGGCAGAAGATAAGAAGAGTAGGTCGTCAACTTTATTACCGCCAATATCCGCCAATAAATGTAAGTATATTTAATTGTAGTTGTTGTAGTTGGGTTGTAGTTTGGGGGGCGCCAGGGCAGGGGCCCGACTAAGGCGCAATAGGTTTTTCTTGTGCTGTTATGTTGTGGGTTGGGTAAGACGGAGGCAAAGGCGAGCCCTCGGCCCTTGGGCTGGGAAAGCCCGGGCCGTCGGTGGGCCTTGCCCCCGCGGGTTACCGCTTACCGCGACCCTTAAACCCCCCTTCCCTGGGTTAGGAACCCGTGACGCCCCGGGGAGCGGAGGCCATGCTTGCGGGAAACAGCATGGTCCCCGGGAAGGACCCGTAGGATGGACGTGTGCCGGGAAGGACCACGGGGCTCCGAACCACCTCGATGCGTCGTGTTGGAGGGTTAGGAGGGCAACCGCTCCCGAACCACGACAAGGCTTTTCACATAATAACTTCGTATAGCATACATTATACAGTAGAAGGCTTACAAGCAATGTGAATTTTTGATTCCCTCTTTCGACGGCTCACTTACCAGGAGAGGTCATTTGGTCAACCCGGCCAATTGAATGAGATGTATGTGTGTAGTTACGCGCCTTGGGACGCTGAGCTCAAATATGTGTTCCTTATCTGCTGAACTCTTCTCTGAAAGGAATTATGAAGCAGAAAAGCGCAGGGGCTGTGGTCGAGGCTCACGAAAAAGAGGTCAGGGGATCAACTCCCTGGCGAGTTTGTTCTTTTGCCGTTTGCAGTAAGATAGCTAGGAAGATTCTTAACATTGCTAGTCCAACATGCTTGCGTATAGTTTAAAAGTATTAGGTTGTCGGAAATAGTCTGGCCGTTTCGATCTGCATGTCGTAAACTCTCTTAGAGAATTACATCTTGAACATTGTGATTACAAAAGTATGTAACCCTATTCAAAGGTTCTTTGCAATCTATTGTGGGTGGTCTCTCACAGCGATGTAGGCGAGAAGGTTTTTGACTGGATAGTATTTGTTCGCTCGGAGAGTCCAGAAACAACGCGTCAATGGAGCAAAAAATGCGGCAAGGATGCTCACGTCTTGTGCGATGGGGAAACCCCAGAATGGTTTTTCATGAGTGTGGTGAACACTGTTTCGTTGCCGAAGGGTCCAGAAAGTTCGAGGAAATATTCCCAATTCTTTTGGACCTTTTGTTCCTACTGAATGCACAAGCGTTATTCTGGAGCTGACTGGAAACAGTCTCCGGAGCAATGCTCGGGAGCTGATGCAGCTTTTCCAAAGTTTCCAGAATACAATAGCCGTTTGATCAATATCTTCTCAAAAAGAAGAGAAATTATGGCAAAGGGAGATTTTGTGATATGGATGACAACCGCCGTCAGAGACCTTCAGATTTTAGCATGAACATTTTGATTTCCCATCGGTCTCTTGTTTGACCCGACTATTAGGTCGGTCCATAATTTTTGAGAAATTTTACATGTAATTGGTGTAAAAAATTTTTGATAAGTATTGAAGCTTTCCAAGATGTCCAGCAACCTAGCACACAAGCTCGCCTATCCGACAGGCTAGCCACCTCGTTTGCATGTTACTTTCTTTAGCTAGATTCCAATTTCTTTGAGACCTACTTCTGAGCCCTCTTTCTTCATGACTTCAGATTAGAATCTTCCACGAGCAGGAGCACGCTTCTTCCAATCTCTGACAAAGTAGCACTATGTGTCAGAGTGCTTTTCGTGTGATAAGGGGAGAGTACTGAGATATCTTGATAAAGTCATTCTTGTGTTGGTCGTGGCAGTGAGCGGCGGCGTGGTTCTGTGCTCTCGATATTCCCGCCTTGTGTTGCTGTCCTTCATTCGTACTGCCTGTTCTGTTCTATATTACTGCCTAACTTACCTGCTCTTCTATCAGCGGAAGGAGGATCGTCTCACGCTGTATCCCTAGTGGCAGGGGATTTAGAAAATTTCTCTGATTGCCACTTTTCGAGGTAATTTCTTCGTTAAAAGATCGATCGTCATCGACCGTTTCGGTCTTGATCTTCACTGCGGTTTTCTTGTACTGTGCTAGCTTCCTTGTGGCAGGGAGCGCCGTGCTTTTTCGCTTTGCCACCTTTCTAGGTCCCTTCGTTAGTTTCGACTATGAGTTCCATTCTTTCTGTGGTTTCAAAATTTAAGGGTCGCAAACGTGGCCTTGTCGATTTCGGATCGCCTCAAGCCTCTGAACAGGAGCGTGCTCTGGTGACCGCTATTGATCAATTCATGGCCGACGACGCGACTCCATCGTATATGAAAACGATTATCGAATACTTGCTCGAAGCTAAGGAGAGGCTCGAAATTTTGTCTAGTGAGAATAAGGAATTGACTGAAGAAGTCCATAAGCTTCGTAAGGAAAATGATTTTCTTCGCCAATCTCTATCTCAGCCTCCTCAATCTCAGGTTATTGTTGATACTTCTAATTCTGAAACTCAAGTCACTTCTCCAGTTAAAAAGTCTGATATTAGTTGCTGCGATTCAAAAGAGCTTTCACGTTCTTTGGTGATCATTGGTGTGCCGGAATCCTTGATTCTCTTCCTTCAGATCGTCTCGCTCACGATTTCAACTGTGTGAGAATGCTCTTTAATTTTCTGCATGTGGAATGTGTTCCTCTCTCTATTTACCGTATGGGAAGGCGCTCACAGTACCGTCCCAGGCTTTTAAAGGTGGTTCTACCGAGCACTAAGTTCAAAGAAGAAGCTCTACGTCGTGCCCCTAATCTTAGGGCTTCCCCCTTTAGGGGCACATACATACGTCCCTCCCTTCCACAGGCAGAGAGGGATAAGCTTCGCACTTTGAGGTTAGCGGCTAGGGCCAAGCCTGTTCGTTCTTCTGCAGTTGTTAATTCGAATGTTTCACCGCAATCAGGTTTAAATAGTGCGCATAAGTCTATGGATGTCAGCACGTTTTCTGACAGTCCTTTAAATGTTCATTAGTTCCTCGGCGTTGGGTCAGTAGCTGCAAATGTTTGCTGTGTAACATAAGGTCGCTTCCAAAAATGCTGATTCACTGATTTTCCATCTAACCAACGAGTGCTTTGATTTTGTTGGTTTGACCGAGACATGGCTTAACCCGCTCTTGAAAATTCGACATTCCTTGGTATTTTGGGCCATGAGTACAGTCTCATCCGTTGTGACCGCCCTCGTAAAGTTGGCGGCGGTGTCGCAATTCTTGCCAAAAAGGAATTTTTGTACCAAGTCATCTTCAAGGAAACTATCATTGACTCTTATGAAATTTTGTGTTGTGACTTCTCGCTTTTATCCGAACTATGTAGAATTGCAGTAGTTTATAGAGCCCCCAGTTGTTCTCATAATACAACTCAACAGCTTTTTAAAGCGATAACCGACCTCTCGATTTGTCAGCATCCCTTCTTAGCCATGGGGGACTTTAATATGCCTGAGGTCAATTGGCAAAGCGAGGTGGATTACAATTTCGGTGGTCTTGCTGGCATTATTTCGCGTTTATGTGCAAGTTACAATTTGCAACAATTAGTTGAAAAGCCAACTCGTGGTACTCACGTCTTGGACTTATTGTTTTGTAACAGGTCAGACATAGTCAGTGGCGTGCTTACAGGTCCTCCGCTAGGATCAAGTGACCATTTTAAGATTACATTTCTTTTAAGCTTCCCCAAACGAAATCACTTGCCAACGTTTCGTAGGCAATTTGCTAAAGCCGACTATACACGAATCTCTAATTATCTTGCAAATGTGGACTGGTTTGGGTCTTTCCAGTGTTGCAATACTGTTCACGAGATGTATGAGCTCTTCATCTTTGTCCTGAAACATACCATTGAAATGTTCGTTCCTGTTTGCGAGGTTCATGGGAATCGGCCTTCCTTCCCTGAATATCTCTTGAGGTTTTCAAAAACATGCTCTCAGGCCTGGATGCGAGCAATTGAATCTAAGGAACAGGATGACATGAATAATTACTTAATCTTGAGAAATCGTTTTCTCAAGAAGCTCATGAGGTACAATTTGAGGGTTGAAAAAAAGGTGATCAATTCTTGTAACAAAACGGCCTTCTATAAGATGTTATCCACCAAACTTAAGAATCGCGGTGATATTTGTACACTTAAGGATGCTGAGGGTAATCTCGCGTTTTCTGACCAATCAAAAGCCGAATTACTAGCGAAACATTTTGCATCAGTGTATGCAGGCTCTTGCCCCGATCATAGCCACTCTGTGTTTCCTTCGCTGGCTCGATTCCCATTAATGAACCAATGTGTCTGGTTTCAGGAAGAGGAAATTTTGGACTGCATTAAAAAATGGCCTAGCTCATCATCGCTCACCCCTGACGGTGTTTCTCTGTATTTCTTGAAACGTGTTTCCAATGTTATTGTGAGTCCTCTCAAATATATCATGAACCTCTCTCTTATGAGGGGTGAAGTACCACTCATTTGGAAGCATTCGTACGTTACCCCCATACCTAAAAAACCCTATGACTTAGCGGCTAACTACAGGCCAATTAGTATCACGTCGGTCATTGCTAGGTTGTTTGAGAAGATTATCAAGAAAAGAGTTGCAAATCATCTTGAAAAACATCGTATAATCAGCAAATCAACACGGCTTTGTTAAATATAAATCCACAGTGAGCCAAATGCTAGAAGCCCTCAACGATTGGACATTGGGGATTGATGCAAAAAAAGAAGTTCATGTTGTGTATTTTGATTTTATGAAAGCTTTCGATAAAGTTCCCCACAGTAAACTTTTTTATAAGCTCGAATGTGTTGGTATCCATGGTATTCTGCTTCAATGGTTGCGTAATTTTCTTACTAATCGTACCTTCCAAGTTCGAGTGAATAATTCATTGTCGGCAAGTATGGAGGTCACTAGCGGCGTCCCGCAAGGCGGAGTCCTATCTCCCTTGCTATTCAATATATTTACCTTTGAACTTAGTTCCCTAATCACTTCTGTGGGAGTAGAATGTAAGATTTTTGCTGACGACCTTAAAGTTTACAAGGTCATTGACTCTGATTCTGACTCGGCCCAATTGCAAAAGGCTGTAGATATTGTTAGCAATTGGTCCAAGACTTGGGGACTCCCTCTTTCTGTTGACAAAACTAAGGTTTTGATTCTATCCCAGTCACCTTCTTGCCGTTATTCTTATCACATAGACGGCAAGGTTCTGCTAACCGTAGACAAGGCCACAGATCTAGGTTTCATTATTTGTCGTGACCTTAGTTTCGACGACCATGTCAACATGATTGTCAGCAAGGCTACCAATAAGGTCTATAACTTCTTTAAGGCCTTTGCTTGTCGTGATCCTGAGGTTCTTCTACGTGCGTTTAAGACCTACATTCGTCCATTGCTCGAGTATGGGACTGCTATATATTTCCCGCACAAAAAATCTTCGATTAAAGCTCTTGAAAAAGTTCAAAATGACTTCACTAGGAAGTTAATGATTAGAGTCCATGGATATGACTATGCGAAAATACCTAACAGTGCTACTAGAAATAAAATTCTCGGTCTGCAGACGCTCGAAAAAAGAAGGAAATTAAACGACGTATACTTGCTTTATAAGATTCTCGTTGGGAAGGTTTCACTCGATAAACATAAGCTTTTCTCGCAGGGGACTCTCGTACTCGTGGCGGAAGTATCAAGGTTTTTATCCCTCGACCTAAGTCTAGGTATCGAAGCCATTTCTTTTGCCATCGCGCTGGCTTAGAATTCAACAAAATTGTGAGGCAGGCTGGGGCACCGAAATCATATGCTCACTTCAAAAGACTAGTGACCCAACACTTATCAACTTTCCTTCCTTCGTTGTTGTGTTTTTTTTTGTTATGTTTTTTTTCTCTTCTGTTTCCCGTTTTGTTGCTTATAATTACTATTGTCTTGTTACTAACATTTTTATTTTCGCAATCAGCTTAAGTTCCTACGTCATTATGGTTCATTTTTCAAAGCTTCGTGTTTTGTGATTATTACATTCATACGGCTCCTCGTATATAATAAAATCAAATCAAAGTTGCTTGAAGTTGCACACTATGAGTGCTATTTATATTATCTGAGCCCGAATCAGCTCAACACCCGATCTGACATCATCATGTTCCTCTTGGGTTCCCTTAGTTCCCTCGAATAACCATCCATCATACTCATCGGTGATGTGGACTGGATGCAGTGCTAAATAAATCCACAAGCCGCAGTAGCTTAGCTTAAACGATTCGGGAGTTCTGACAGCAAAAACCCAACTCCCTCTGAATTCGAACTTCCTGAGTCGTTGGCGGAATACGAGAGGGCCTTTGCGCTGGAACCGGCACCAACTAATACCAGTGTCAGTGATGGAAGAGAATCGTTGACAGCTTGATGGCAACGCCTTCAACTTGAAAGCAAAGTAAGACAAAATCTATTTTTTCTGAGGTCGTTCGAGCCCGCCTTGCTAAGAAAATTCCTAAAAAATTGGAGACTCTCGGGCGGTCAGTTCTTTTAGCTCCGCCTTGTAGCACTAATCCTGCGTCAACGAACGACTATCCGCTCTCCTCTCTCAATCACCTTCTGGAGAAGAAATCTCACTTGAATCACCATAAAGTCAAAATCGACATCCAATATTTCTTCGATCAGAACTCTATGAAATTCTACAAGAGAGACACTGAACACCTACCCTCGCATTGGCCATATGTTGGTAATTATGGACCGACCTAATACTTTGTTGGTGGTAATTAAAAATGTGTTCTTACTACAGTCGAAAGTGACGGTGGCCCAGACGCGTAGAACCTAAGATTCCAGCGCCGATTCCAGCACTGCAACCTGGAGGTAACTTTCAGAATTGGTGAAGCTCCAAGCGATTCGTTCACTGACAGCTCCTACCAAAGAACTGCACTGCTATTGTTGAACCATAATATGGGCAAATGGATGGGTTCGCCGGCACTATGCTTTAAAACATGGAAAAGTTTACTTTACCAGGCAACGCTCGTCAACGAATTTGGAAGAAGGTTCAGCAAAAGTCTCCAAGCCCGTTATGGGACGTTCTGTCCCACCTGTTGCGTTCAGCAGGCCCGGCACTAACAGACCATCTGCTTCCATTGCTGTCAAATCAAACAAAAGAGGGAGAGCTCAATGATCCGAACCTACTCGAAGAGGACTTCTTCAAGGTTTTGGCTTAAAAGCTCAGTATTTAGACAAACGCCATCCACGAGCTACCTGCTAAAAGGCAGCATGTTGGCGATTGTGGCATTGCATATATTTGCAGTTTGTTTTCTGTGCTAAAGAAAATGAATTGGAAAAAAACCGACAAATGGCCAAAGACTTTTGGGCGCTTGTAGCGCAGGCGCCAGGCATTTTTGCTTCGAACAAGTATGATATTCGTAATCAGGGAGTCAGACTCTCCCTTTGAGCAAACTTCTAGCGAATTCTGAAATTTTGACCTAACCTCGAAAATTTGGGCAGTCACTTACTCACCGATCCACCAATCCATTACAAAAGGCTGGCACTTGGGTAGAATAAACCTTTTAAACACTTTTCATAATAGACAAAAATTGTGTCTGGCTTGCCCGTCTGCATCATCCAAAGATCTGCAAAGCATTATTTCCTAATACAACACCTTCTCTCCCCTTTCCCCCGTCGTCCATGATTGGTCAACCCAAAAAAGTGGAGTTTGAGGAGTGGTAATCCCATCACTGCTCCGCTTTTTCTCAATTAGTTCATGACCTCAGATTTGGCGAAAAACTCGTTTTTAGAGGTAGTTTGATCCCCTGAATACGAATATCGTGC